ATGATGAAACGATAGATATTTCTTAGAAAGAATTTAAAAAGTAATAACGGTTAACATTTTTTGAAGAGGCAAGAACTTTTCTTACGAACTCCCTTCCTAGCCATAATATAGAAATCAAAATAAATTGAACATTGCAGCACTGAATATCACTACAAGAAATTGAATATAAAACAGAAGAGCTCATCCATACGATAACCGAAAAGCCTTAAAAAAGACAGAGTCATTGAATGTAACGCTACTCCATGTGATGGGATTTGTATAAACCAGTAACAATTTGCAGGCTTTTCTGCTACCCATGTCAAGGCATATATTTGAAGCTGAGGAAAAATGTACAGAAATGAAAATTTGAGAGGTAATAATTCCGTAATTTCTCTCACTCACCCCTATATGCGCGCGCGCGTGTGTGTGTAAAAAGATCTATTTTAGTTTCAATGCAAATTTATAAGATCTGGATTGACAAGGAACCAATCCAAATAATGGTACCATGGGATGCTTAATCACTGCTGCAAACATCTAGAGTACAAGGGTTTTTTTTATATATTTCTGAGCAATGATCAACCTGAATAGCTTCTTTCCTTGAAAAGCAATCACATTCCAACACTCTGCACGTGATGTATATTGAATTCAAAATCAATATTGTTTCAAACAATACCAAAACATTCAACTGACAAAGAAAGAAGGAAAGAAAATCAATATTGTTTCGACCAAATTCCTCCATGAGCTTACATTAGCTCTCTCAGTCCTTCAATTTGCTCCACACCTGATCGATCTGATAGTTCATTTGTTTACCCTCTGTTTCAACCTTATCCAATACCCACAGAGATCCTGAACACAACACCTTAAACTCGTTCACCTTCCGCTCCATCTCTTCAATTTCTCGCTCACATTGTTTCATCTTTGAATCCAACAAATATTCTGATTCTCCAGGTAATTGCTCCACAAAATATTTTAGGCACAATATATTTTTTAGAACACAAGAAAGAAGTTTATCAACGATCGTTTCTATTTGACTCGATTCTAATTCAGAACGACTTCCAACAACTATGATCGTCATTTCGATGATGGTAATGAACTTGTTAATTACTGTCGAAGAATCTTCTTTGTTAATCAATTCGAGTGAATGCTTGAATGCCTTGAACTTGGATAGCTCCTTTTCAAACTCAGACAAGAGAAGCATCATCTTTACGAGCAAGCGAGAGATCCGAACTCCAAGTTGGATTACTCTAAAATTGTTCTCCTCTGCAGATTCATAATTTTCCTCAACATTCTTAGAGGAACCTACTCCGCTTTTACGCATTGCCAATCCCTCCCCTTTCAGTACTAGTTCTTGAAAATCGGTGTCTAATGTCCCAAGATCGCTATCACTTGTTTCATCATACACCATCGGACTCTTCATTTTCAAGTCACGTTTTTTATTTTCCGGGATTCCTTGAGGGTTTGATCCGCAGATATCTTGTTTTAGATCTTCCACGGTAGTCAAAATATCGTTGAAATTTTCATCAGAGACTTCTGGGTCATCAGCAGCATGATCATCTGATGAGCCGAGAATCCTCAATTTTCCGACCAGCCTTCTCCCTAAATCTGCCATTGCTTGAGAATTCTTCTCTGGCTTTTCCTCTTCGCTCTCTCCTTCATAGCCTTCATTGCTTATTCCAGACTCTGGCGATGGCCACTTCTTGTGGCGATCAACATCATCTTCTTTTTTCTTGAAGCCTTCGACACTGCTCGCCCGTTTATCAGTTTGATAAAACCCAGTTCCCGGCTCCAGC